AGCTACATTGTGCGATGACTAACTTTGATAGATTGAGTCCTTCTCAGCAATATAAGGATCTAAGCCATGTCCAAAAGTCTCATGATGGAAAATGCTATCCACATCCAAAGAAAGAATATGGAGTTTGAATGCACATTGAAGCATACTATTTGCTCTTTTTTTTTCCTCTTGTTTTGTTTTGTTTCCTCTTTCTTGCGGTTCCTCCTATTGGTTCTAATTCTTCCTTACAACATGACTAATGTGAAATATGTTTAATAGGAATGCATATGTATAGCCTGTATCAGATTGTGCACCCTCTTGGGGAGGGAGGAGGGGAAGGAGGGGGACAAAAATTCAAAACTCAAAAGCTTATGAAAGTGATTGTTGATAAATCAATAAGTTAGTTTAAAAAACAGTTTTCATGACTATAGATGGCTTTAATTTCTTCACCTGAAAACTGCCTGTTCATATCCTCTGACCATTTATCAACTGGAGAATGACTTGTATTCTTACAAATTTGACTTAGTTCTCTATACATTTTAGAAATGAGGCCCTTATCAGAGATACTGGTTGTAAAAATTCTTTCCCAGTTTTCTGCTTCCCTCCTAATCTTGGTTGTACTGGCTTTGTTTGTACAAAAACTTTTCAATTTCATACAATCAAAATTATCCATTTTGCATTTCATGATGTTCTCTGTCTCTTGTCTGGTCATAAATTCTTCTGTTCTCCATAAATCTGACAGGTGAACTATTCCTTCCTCTCCCAGTGTGCTTATAGTATCAGTCTTTACATCTAAATCATGAACCCATTTTGACTTTATTTTGGTATATGGTGTAAGATTTTGGTCTATGCCTAGTTTCTGCCATACTATTTTCCAGTTTTCCCAGCAGTTTTTGTCAAATAGTGAGTTCTTATCCCAGAAGCTGGGGTCTTTGGGTTTATCAAATAGTAGATTACTATAGTCATTGACTACTGTGTCTTGCCTACCTAACCTATTCCACTGATCACCACTCTATTTCTTAGCCAGCACCAAGTAGATTTGATGATTACTGCTTTATAATTTATTGCTGCTTTATAATTTGTAATTTTTTTAATTTACAATTTAGGATCTGGTATGGCTAGGCCACCTTCCCCTGCATTTCTTTTCATTAGTTCCCTTGATATTCTGGACCTTTTGTTATTCCAAATGAATCTTGTTATTATTTTTTCTAGCTCCATAAAATAATTTTTTGGTAGTTTGACTGCTCAGAAGGATCTGGGAATGTTAGTTATTACTGTTGGGTAAAGAGGACAACTTCACACGAGCTATTTCAAAGGTCGAATCTTGAGCAGGGAGTAGGTACTCTTGTTAAAGGGGCAGAAGCAGGGCAGGCCAGGTAGGATGAAGGAGTCATTTGTCTCCCATATATTCTCACAGGGGCAGCTTCCAATCTTTGTAATACAGGAGACTAGTAGATATAATCCATGAGCCATTTCCCTCTCTGCAGTCAGCAGCCTCTTCAGAGCAGCAGTGAGGGCTTTGGTGGTTTTGCCTTTCAGGATGAAAGTCACATTCCCAGGCATGTGCAAGGGGATTAGTTCTACCACCAGGTTCATGATCACTGCTGGGTCTTTCCTGTCATCACAGTTGTTTCATGAAAAACAAAACAAAACAAAACAAAACAAAAAAACAACACTGAATTTGCCCAAATGGAATGAAGTCTGAATATCCTCTTGGGCAGGTGAAGGCCAAGGCAATACTAGAGAAAGGGTACCCAACAGTCTGAAGATAAAAGCATTTTCATTACCTGTCCCACATGCTAGAATGCTCTCCTTCCTCATCTCCACTTCTGGTTTCCCTAATTTCATTCAAGTCTTGACTATAGTCCTACCTTGTACAAGAAGCCTTTCTCAGACCTCCTTAATCTTAGTGCCTTCTAGGACTACCCCTAATTTAGAATAGTATAGATATAGACACACACACACACATTGCTTATACATAGTTGTTTGCATATTGTGTCCCCTACTAGGTTATTAACTCCTTGACGGCAGGGACTTTCTTTGCATTCTCAGCACTTAACACAGTGCCTAGCATATAGTAGGTGCTTAATAAAGCTTTAACTGACTGACTGATTCTTCATGCAGCACAAGATCACATCATCTTTTTGGCTGCTACATCACAATATTGACTAAAAGTGAGTTTTCAGTCCACTAAAACCTCCAGATTTTTCCCAGAATGACTACTGTCTAAACATGCCTACGTGCCTTCCCTCATCTTATATTTGGGAAGCTAATTTTTTTTTTTTTGTATCTAAGTGCAAAATTTTATACTTAGCCCTAATGAATTTCACATTTAGATTCCCAGATTGTGGTTCTTAACCTGGGTTCAGTGAACTTATTTTTAAAATATCTTACCATCTTTTCAATATTAACTGTTTCCAACTTTATCAATTTGATGAGCATGATATGAAACCTCAGTTGCCTTAATTTGCCTTTCTTATTAGTGATTTGAAGCATCTTTCCATATGATTACTGATAGTTTGCATTTATTTCTGTGAAAAATTTCTTTTCAAAAAATATGCATGGAGACCAGCAAGATGGCCAAATAGTTGCTTTCTACAAACTTCTTCAATGCCAAAACCTCAAATGAAAGGAATTAGGGAGCCACATTGGATAAATACATGGAATCCATAAGACCTTATCCCTTCTCCCACAAAGAAACAAAGAAAACCTTAGAAACAATACCAGAGGATTTTAACACTTAGAACTCTTATTCTACACCAGTATCCACACCCTCAAATTAGCTTGTGACCCAGGGTCCAGCTTGATATATTTCCCATAGCAGTGACTCTGCCCAAGTACCCCTCTCCACAAAAAGGGGTAGACACCTATTCTGCTCAGTCACTTGAATGAAGGAGGGGCAGAAGAATCCAGAAGGACAGAAGACAGCATACCGGCTCAGAGTTACAGGAGAGAAAAGAGCTTCCCTCTGACAGAAATGGACTAGAAAACCATCTTGGGGTAGGTGCTCTCCCCTCTACTCAGATGTACTCAAGACAGAATTGGCCTGCCCCCCATATACTCCACAACAGGAAGGCTAGCTAAAGCAGTTCAGCCTACAGGTCTCCAAACCAAAGCAAGGGGGAGGGACTCGGGAGTCAGAATTCCCAATGGTGGCTGATGAGAGACACAAGAAAAACTGAAAGACCAAAAGATCCCAAGTGAAAACCTGAACAAAAACCCCATGACACAATCTGATAAACCAATGACAGGGTCAAAAACAGAAAAATGGGAAAACTTATTTGTATCCTTTGCCTAGTGATCCAATGCAAAATGGTTTTTGACCTTACATGTTTGTCAATTTACTGTATCATCTTGTAATCCTGAGTTTAAGCACAGATATATTTGAGGCAAAGATTTTCTTCACTCTGTAATATGTCCCTTATTTTAATTACAGGTTTGTTTATGCAAAAGATTTTAAATTTTACATAACCAGAAATGTTTTATTTTATATTTTATGATTTCTATGTATTGTTTAGTTAAGATTCCATTGTCTCAATGCCTTGCAATCTAATTTCCAATGCCCCCACTTCACTGAAAACTGCTTTCTCCAAGTTCATCAATGATCTAAATTCCTAAATTCTAAAATGGCCTTTGCTCAGATATTCTCCTTGAACCCTCTGCAGCTTTTGACATTGATCACCATCCTCTTTCCCCTAGAGGCTCTCCCCTCCAGTTTCTCAGACATGGATCTCCTATCTGTCTAATCACCCCTCAGTTTCCATTGCAAGCCCATCTTAACCCATGTCTTAACCCTTGTACCTCTGGGCTTTGTCCTGGGCCCTCTTATGTTCTCTCAATAACAATCTCTCATCTTTAACTCTGTCTCTCATCAATTCCCAAGAGTTCAACTATCATCTCTAGGTGATGACGCCTAAACCTACGTATGTAGCTCTCATTTCCCTCCTGAGCTCTAATCCAGCATCACAATTGTCTGCTAGACTGCTCCACCTGCATGTCATACAAGCACCTTAAACCTGATAAATCCAAAAGAGGGATCATTATGTTATTCCTTAAGCCCACCAGCCCTCTCAAATTTTTTTATTTCTATCAAGGATTCCATCATCCTTCCAATTATTTAAGTGCGCAGTCTAGGAGAGACGTTTAACTCTTCACCCTCCCTGAACCTCCCCCGCCTCCCCAACCGTCCAATCAGATTCTAATTCTCGTTAATGCCCCCTCCACTGACTGACATCTTTCATATTGTCCTCTCCATCCACAAAACCACCACCCCAGGTTCAGGCTTTCATCATCTGTACCTGGGCTGCTATCTCATTTGGTTTTCATTTGATTATTATTAATCATTTGGTTAATAATAATACCTGGGGAGAAAGGTGTTATTATTATCCTCATTTTTACAGATGAGGAAACTCAAGCAGAGTTTAAGGATTTGTTTAAATGACACAGATTAATAAATGGGTGAGGCTGGATTCGAACTCAGTACTTCCTGAATCCAGGTCCAAAACTCCATCCACTCCTGCCTTCAAGTGCGCACTCTTTTCTAGGGACACCACCCTGCCCCTCAGAACAAGTTCTACTTAATTAAATTGACAAGGAGATCATTCTTATTCAATTACCAAACATGCATCCGCTACTACGCAGCTGCCAGGAAATAACAAGCGCCGGGAGAAAACATCAAACGTCATCTAGCCCACTGCCCTTATTTTACAGAGAAGGAAACCGAGGCTGAGAGTGGGGCTCCCCCAGCCTGGCTGCGACTCGACACGGACGGCTGCGCAGTCTTCCTTCCCCGCCGGCCCGATCCTCGGCCCATCACCCCCAACCGTCCCGGGGGGAGGATGCCGCAGCCGCAGCGCGGAGTGGGGGGGGCCCAGAGCGCGCCGGGAGTCCGGTACCCGCCTGCCCGCCGGCGGAACCCGAGCCCCGGGAGGAGAGAGAGCCTGGGGAGCCCCCCGCGGTGCCGCCCCCCGCGGTGCCTCCTCCTTGCCAGCCCGCCCGGCCAGGCCCCGCCGCAGCCCTACCTCGACAGCACCTCCAGGTCCTCCAGCACAGACAGCAGCTTCTCCCGCGTGCTGTTGCCGGGCACGTTGGCGATGCTGACCGATCCCGGTCGCTCCTTCTCCTTCTCCGCAGCCGAGGACGCAGCCATGGTGGAGGTCGGGAGAGCAGACAGCGCACGCCTTCCCAGCGCCTGCAGACTGACGAATGCGGCAACCGCAGCAGTGCGACAAGATCTAGTGCGCAGTTAGGAGAGCGGGGAGCGGGGAGCGGGGAGCGCTCGCTGCGCCGACAGCGGCCGCTAGCGGTGCGGAGGAGCGACTGCAGGCGCCGGCGCCTACGCCTGGGCCATCTCCTGGGGAAGCGGTGACTTGCGTTTTCTCGTGGAGGAGCCTTATGTCGAATCCGAAAAGGGAGACATTTGAGGAAAACAGGAACGGAAAAAGAGCGCAAATACTGTGTTTTCCTGGTGCATCACAAGGTCTTTACTAACCGAGTCAATCTTTTTTGTTTTTTTAAATATGGGCATATGACTTCATTGGCATGGAAACCATTCCCAATGTGGAAACCCCCCTCCCCTGATGTAAATCGCAGAATCATAGGTCTGGGGTTGAAAGGGACCTTAAGAGGCCCTCCAATCCACTTCTCTGATTTTACAGATGAGGAGGGTGAGGGCAAGGTCTGTCCAAGGTCACACAACTACCGTGTGACAGGCAGAATCAGCACTTGAACCACTATACCATCCTGCCTCTCAGATCACTTTTAATATTTGACTAAAACAGAATAATTGCTGGTAGCTTCCTACTCTTGTTTAGTAAGTAGTGATTTTGAATTGGTAATGCCTAATGAGACAACAGAATGTGGCCCAGCTTTGCCTAATAAAGACTGTATTTGGGTGGCAGGTGGTGAAGATTTTCAATTCAGTCTCCCCAACCTGCACCTTGTTTGTAATTTACAATCTTCGTTGCTTAGAGCACTTTGAGATAAAGTGACTTGCCCAGGTTCACCCACCCAGTACGTGTCAGAATCAGGACTATGAGCCAAGATCTTCCTAGTGTTCTCGGTCAGCTTTCTACCCATCATGCCATACTACCTCAATATAATACTTGACCTAAATCACACAGATTACGAGAGTCTCAGCGTGAGAAAAGATACAAAGATAAACATGAAACTACTTCTTGTCCTCAAGAAACTGACATTCTGTTGGGGAGACAATGCATATATAAATAAGTATTAAAATACACCTGACTGAGTTTTTTAAGGGAGGATGCTAGAAGCTAGGTGTTCAGGAAAGGCTTCATATAATAGGCAGGTGAACGGCTTTGTGAAGGCAACAAGGGATTCCAATCAGTCAATAAACGTTTATTAAGTGCATACTATATGCCAGGCACTGCTAAGTGCTAAGAGGCAAAAGATAGTGCCTGTCCAAAAGATAGTCGCATCTAATGGGGAAGCCGACAAACAAACATATAAACAAGCTATATGAAGAATAAATAGGAAATAATTAACAAAGGGAAAGCATTAGAATGAAGAGTCATTGAGGAAGGCTGCCTGTAAAAGGTGGGATTTTTTTTGTATCAGAGGATTCTGGGAAGATGGCAGAGTAGGTCAGAATACTCCAAGCTCCACAAATTTCCTCCACCAAAAAAACACAGAACATTATCTCAACGTGAACATAGCACAGCAGAAATAAAAGTCGATGTAAAACAGTAGTCCTCCTAAGATAACTTGAGAAGACTTTAGGAAAGACTTAACCTCCACAGGGTAGAGGTTTGGCCTGAGTGAAGTGCAAGCACCTCCAGGCCGACTCCAGGGAATCAATAAACTACAAGCCCTGAGGCATAGCCAGCTCAGGCTGCAGAAACTTTCACCTCACAATCAGCGTGGGGCCAAGTAGGGTAAGATTGAAAGACCCTCTGCTGTTGCTGGACACCAGGCCCAGCTGTGCTGATCAGACATTGTTCCTGGGCTGCAGCTGCTGGCAAGAGGGAGCAAGCACATGCCGGGTAACAGAGAAGGACCATGCTGGCTAAGGCACTTGCTGGGGAACAGTCCCTGATTTCCGTTCCAGGGCAGAAAGGAGAGCTGAAGTTTGCAGCCACTGGGAAGCAAGGGATCAAGAGTATATACTGGTCAGTGTGGCTGGAGGGGCCTAGCCATGGCTTAGGAGTAAAGAGGAGTGCCCTAGGTTGGGAGAATTTAAAATGGACTTCAAAAATCAAAAAAGAGATTGAGGAAAAATTAGGAGGAAAAATAAGAGCAATCCAAGAAAATTATGAAAAGAAAGTCAACCAACTGGAAAAAGAGATCCAAAAACTTAAGAAAACAACTCTTTGAAAACTAGCATTGGAGGAATAGGATGGAGGGAAATACAGTTAGCAGTAGTAACAGTGAAAAAAAATTTTTGAAGTAAGTTTCTCTGATAAAGGCCTCATTTCTCAGACATATAGAGAATTGTCAAATTTGTAAAAATGAAAACTAGAATTGGGCAAGGGGAAGCTAATGACATTATAAGACACCAAGAAATAATAAAATAAAATTGAAAGAATGAAAATATAGAAGAGAATGTGAAATATCTCATGAGAAAAACAACTGATCTGGAGAACAGATTGAGGAGAGACAATATAAGAATTGTTGGTCTATCTGAAAGTTATGATAAAAAAAGAATCTTGATACAATATTATAAGAAATTATTAAGGAAAATTGCTCTGAAGTTCTAGAACAAGATGGTAAAGCAGAAATAGAAAAAATCCACCCATCACCATTGGAAAGAGATCCCAGAAAGACTTTCGGGTATTTGTGACTAAAAGACCAGAACCTAATGGAAAATTCAACATATAAGATTCAAGAGAAGTATAAGGTAAATATTAAAGACCAATTATAAGGGCCTCAATAAGGTCAAACTGTTTACTTCTTTTGTGTGAAAATGTCAGTACTCTTATGACTGTCATCATTACTTGAGTAGTTTGAAAGAAAGGCTTGGACTGAGCTGAGGGATGATTCTAAAAAATAAAACTGGGTAGGGAGAGGTAAAAAGGAGCACCTATCTCATACAAATGAGGTGTCAAAGGAAGAAATGATACAGAAGAAGCAAGTGGGGAGGGGAGGGCTGGTAGTGCTTAAACCTCACTCTCATCTGAAATAGGTTAAAGAGGGAACAACATATACATCCAGTAGGGTATAAAAGTCTTCTAAATTAAGAACAAAATAAGAGAGTGAGGAGGTAGGATAAGGGAGGAAAAGGGTTTGTAGATTAAAAAGTAGGAGGGTGGGTGAGAAGATAAGGGAGGGACTCTTAAAGGAGTAAATAGATTAAGAATAGGAGGACTGGGTAGTGGGTAGAAGTAAATTAGATGCATGAGGAGGGACAGGGTAAATGAGTGAGAAGGATAGTGAGGAAAAGTAGGATGGAGGGAAATACACAAGGAGTAATTATAACTTTGAGTGTGAATTTACCCATAAAATGGATAACAAAATGTATTAAAAAATGAATTTGACAATATGTTGCTTATAAGAAACATAATAAGAATGAGAGATACACACATAGTTAAAATAAAAGGCTGGAGTAGAATTTATTATGCTTCAGCTGACGTTAAAAAAGCAGGGGTAGCAATCGTGACTGCAGATAAAATTAAAGTTAAAATAGATTTAATTAAAAGAGAAAAACAAGGGGGCAGCTAGGTGGCACAGTGGATAGAGCACTCACTCTGGAATCAGGAGGACCTGAGTTCAAATATGACCTCAGACACATAATACTTACTAGTTGTGTGATCCTGGGCAAGTCATTGAACCCCATTACCTAGTCAAAAAAAAAAAAAGAGAAAAGCAGGGAAATGATGCTAATTGTCACCAGAGTTGTTTAATATTGTTTTAGACCATTTAAAATAGCTGTAGACAGTATAAAATACTTGATAGCATACCTACCAAAACAGACAGAGGAGTTACACGAACATAATTATAAAACACTTTATACAAATAAAGTCCGATTTAAATAATTGGAGAAATAGTAATAGTTCATTGGTAGGCAAAGCTAATATAATAAAAAAATGACAATTTTACCTAATTAGTCTATTTATTCAATGCCATCCCAATTTATTAAAAAATATTTTACTTAGAAAAAATAATAATAAAATTTATTTGGAAGAATAAAAGATCAAGAATTTCAAAGAAACTAATGAAAAAATGTAAAGGAAGTAGATTCAACGGTACCAGGCCTTAAACTATATTATAAGGCACTAGATATCAAAATTATTTGGTATTGGCTAAGAAGTAGAACAGTGGAATAGTGGAACAGAGTGGAACAGAATAGACATACAATTCACAAGTTGTGTTTGACAAATGTAAAGATTTAAGTTTTGGGGATAAGAATTCATTATTTGGTAAAGATTGTTGGGAAAGTTGGAAAGAAGTCTGGGAGAAATTGAGCATGGACCAATATCTTAAACTATGTACCAAGATAAGGTCAAAATGGATAGATAACCTAGACATAAAGGGAACTATCACAGGAAAATTAGAACATGGGACATATTACCTATCAGACTCACAGAGAGGAGAATAGTATTTGAAGAAACAAGAGATAGAGAGCTTTTGAGGTATAAAATGGGTAAGTTCAATTATCAAGGTAGCCAAAATTAGAAGGAAACCAGAAAATTGGGGGAAAACTTTCATAGACAATCTCTCAGATGAAGGTCTCATTTCTCAAATATATAAAGAACTCTTATCAAATTTATAAGACTACAAGTCATTCCACCGGGATAAAAGGTCAGTTCTTCAATGAAGAAATTAAAACTATAGTCATATGAAAAAAAAATGCTCTGAATCATTATTGATTAGAGAAACGCAAATTAAAACAACTTTGAGATATCACCTTACATCTACTAGATTAGCTAAAATGATAGATGCCCTTCAATTGGGGAATGGCTAAACAAGTTAAGGTAGAGGATTGTGATATAAGAAATGATGAGCTGATTGATTTAAAAAAAAACTTAGAAAGACTTTGACCCATGAAGGAAGATACTATCTACCTCCAGATAAAGAAGTGACAGAAATATGTATAGCATAGTCTTACATATATTGCATATATATGTATTATATATAGATATGTATATAGATACACATATATGTGTGTGTATAGATACATACACATATATATGTGTATGTATGTATGTATGTATATATTTATGTTTAATTGTAGCCTTCTCTAGGCCAGGGTGGGGAGGGAGA